TTTTCAGCCAAGCCCAACTTAATCAAATTTATCAAAATTTTACCCAAATATCTTATTATATTGTAGTATCGTTTCGTCTTTTTATTCTTGTGAATTTGTTATCTTCCTCTTCTTGTAATTTTAACAGTCAAATTTCTAAGAACTCAACAAAGAAATGTGCAAAAGAAATCACCAGATTGAATTACGTCATTTTATAAAAGTTAAGATTGAACATGTCATAGTCAAATTAATGTAGCATTATTGTAAATATAAAAAAATTAATTATTGTACGGAACCCGGGAATCGAATAGAACCGAATCCAAATGGTTTCATAATTAAATTTGGACCCGACGACTCCACTTACTAAGTACCTAAAAATTTCGGTTCAATTCGGTTCTCTTCAGAACCGAACCAACCATGTCCAGCCCTAATGCAAATTGAATAGTGATTATCAAATCAACAAGATAGTACCTATTTATTGATTTAATGAAGAATTCATAAAAAAAAAAAAAAAAGAATTGAAGCCTTTTATACAAGGTTTTTGCTACAGACATTGGTTATGTGAACTCATAAAAAGCAACTAATTCCGGATTAGTTTATGACATTCAACATAAAGAGTGCATGCCTTATTTATACGCTTGAATTACACAAATCACCAACTCGGAATTATTGTGAAGTGTATATTAATTCAGAGACAATTCCGACAACTTCAATTTCATTTAAAGAAATCATTTATTGGAGATGATCAAGCTACGTCTGTTGCTTATTTTTCAAACAGAGGTTCTCATCGAACAAGCTTTGGAATTCTTAAATCCGATATTATTGGCCCAACATCAATATTCTAGCAGCTTGGTACGTTTCAGTAGAAAACATCATTACCAAATTTACATTCAGCATGATTTCAAGAACATCAATGTCTTGTACTCAATTCAGTGGCATCGTAGCATTGCTCAAAAGTGCACATCCTAATTGGTCTCCGTAATAATTAAATCTACAATTATGACCATTGTCGATTCTATTAACATTGTCATAACCTAATTGAATACAAAACTCTGCACTGTTTCCAGTCATGTAAATTCATCAATAGCAACTGATCTAGGATTAGTTTATAACATTCAATCT